GAGGCAAAAGTTGGGTTTGGTTTCTCTGTCCAAACTGGTTCATGTGGCCAGTTTCAGAAGCAGTACATGGGAGAAAGACATGTGATGTAGAGCATGCCCTTAGGTCACCACAGAATTTGTCACCCCCACATTGTCCTTTCCACCAAATGGTGTTTGCACAAAGGAGAAAAGGCAAAATCTTTGCATGCAGAGACAAAAGACTTGTTTGCCCTTTTCCTGAAAGGCTGTTTTGGCAGAGTGCCTAGGAGTGTCAGGGATCTCTTGTACCAAGCCACTCTTATCCAGCTGATAACGAAGAAACAAGCAAGATAGTAATAGTGGAATTCAAGGGTTTTTTTAAAAATTAGATCATGGTTCAGACATATACTTTAAAAACCTATTGGGAGGTAGGTCATGCTTTTTGTGTGAACAAGTCCCCATATTATTAAGTGCTTAATTTTTAATGAAGTTAGCTAATTTTGGAAAGTTTTCACTCTTCGCTGTAACAAAAAAAAAGATGACAAAGAGGGAGAGCAATGGCCAGTGTAGGGTATGCCCAAGGCTACAGAGAAGTTCCCAGTTGGAAAGGCTTTGTCAGGTGAGACCTCCGTTCAAAGGGCTGAAGTGTGTAGCTGCTCAAGAAGTTGGAGAAAATATATTTCCTCACCTACAAAAACATAGTGAAGTTATTTTAGTCCTGCAGTTCTTAGAAAAGAGTGAATTTTCATTGATTTAATTGTTTTCATTAATGCTTTTATGGAAGATGTTTATCAAAATGTTATGACTTTGAACGTTTCTTTTGCCCGGTTTGGGTAGATGGGTGAGATTTTTTTCTGTTTCACTTTTTTTCCATCTTGTGGTTGAGAAAAGTAGAGAGGTGGAAGATAAGGGAAGGAAAGAAAGAAAAATGATAAACTGAAAACCTCTCAACTGTTTATTTCTCAGTTTCATAGGAAACCAAACTAAAAAAAAAATTTTTTTTTCAAAAAAAATCTTTTATTTTATTAAAACAGGACACCTTTAATAGGGAAGGATCATACCAGAGATGTGACATGTTTACCTGGCAAGATGTGGACATGGTCCTTGAAATGGGAGCCTAGTGGTAGAATCATTTGGGAAGACGCTTTCTCTCCATCAGGAGCGTGCAGAGAAGTTCACTTCTGGATCAGAAGGACAAAGCTGCCTGGCAGTCACTGGTTTATACTCTAGTTTTGCAGTGGCTGAAGCACCTGGCTTGGAAATGGATGCACTTCCTGGCTTGGGGTACCCTACATATCATCATTTCAGCCATCTGCAGCACTTAGACAGTGACAGCAGTAAACTTCTGGATTTCTTTAGGGCCTTGCTCTATTGATCTTTATCATTTTTCAGTGACTTCAGTAACTTGAGAGCATAGCTGTCAAAAATTGTCTTTATTTAATTGATTTGTTTCTATATGGCAGCTTCTGTATGTGACTCTGGAATAGTCACACATGGGTATTACATTTATTAAAAACTCGGATCCCACAGTGTTGATTGTGGAACACAAACCTAGATGGGTGGAAGTAATGATAACTCTGTAATTTCGAAATCCTACCAACAATGCACAATGCAGGTAGAGTGGGAGGCAGAGGTGGGTTTTCAGGGGGCTGAAAACTGAAGACTGTGAGGAAGCATTGTGGTGGTGGAGAGAGGTGTGGAGTTCATTTTGGGTAGCAGGCACAATAGAGAAGGTGCCTGCGGTACAGTAGGTGATCTTGTGTGAGCGGCTGGCCTGGGAGTCTCGAGTAGGTGAATGTGAGGTGGGCACAAGGAGAGGCAAGGTCTTGCAGAATAGCTAGCTGCAACATCTCCCTGGGGAGCTTTAAATACAAAGGCAGCAGTTTTGAGCTGGATCCCTAAATGAATGGCGATACATTCTCACCTATCTCTCCCTCTCTCTGTGTTCCTCGACTTGGTCTACACTGCAGCGAGACATCTGAGTGCAGTGGATGCAGCATACCTAGTCTTGCTTAGTAGCACTGAAGCTGGAATAGTTTGTAGTCACCTGTGTAAGCCCTGAGCATCCCAGTGCACTTATGTAGCCTGTGCTGAAGGATAAGGCACCCCAGCTACTCTGCTTTTGGTACCTGAGCAAGTTAGATTAAGGCTGGCTCTGAGGCATCTGCTTTCCATGCTGCAAAAAACACCTCTGATCAGAGCATGGAAGTGCTTAGGCAGGCAAGGTTCTTGGGTAGATGTGATATCTTTTATTAGACCAACTAAATAGATGGGGGGAAAAGTTCTTTGCAAAGTTCCCAGCACAAAAAAAAGCTAGCAAAGAACTTTTTTCCATCTATTTAGTTGGTCTAATAAAAGATATCAGGTTTACCCAAAGAACCTTACATGCCTATGTCCCTAGACCAACACGGCTACAACCAACAACCCCAGAAATGCTTCGTGAAGACACGGGATTCTCCTGGGAAGAAATGTCTGGGTTTAAACCTGGGCAGGTGAGCTCCCACTGCTGCCGGCCGGAGGAGATGCAGCGTGTAGACTGGACTCTTTGAAGGAGGAAAAAATGAAGCTAGCAGGCTGGTTTGCATAGAAAATTGGCAGTTTCAAAGCAAAGAGTGACCTCTTGTGGGCCCTTCCTTTAACTCGCCGACAGAAAACGGCTTCCTTTGCTCATATTCTTCCCTGCCAAGATGAGGTGTGGGTTGGCCTCCTGGGTTACCAGCAAGGGGAAGGAGCTACTTGTATTAGGTATTAAGATAGTTGGTTAGAAAACAGAGCCGTGCAAAGCTAACTGAGTTGGAGTGGATGCACCCTTGACCCACTGGAGAAAGATTTCCTACCAAACACATCATGTTAGAAAGAGAAGAGCCTTATGTGAACCTGAGGTGCTCTTATGCCCTG